TTTCCAGACTGACGTCACTGCTCTTCAGTACTTTGGAGAGGTTTCTGACAGCAGACTTTCCCAATGTAATATGTCTTTTCTTTTCCTGGCTGCTGGTGGCAAGAATGTTGATTTGTGGAGCCAAGCACACTAAAGCTGTGGACAATCTCTTCACCATCCGTCGTAATGCTGCCAGATCGGCCCAGTGATGAGAATCTTTGTTTTCTTGATACTGAGCTGTGACCCAGCTGTTCCACTGCTTGGAATATACTCCAGAGAATGAGAACTGAGTCACAAACTGAGACTTGTACACCGGTGTTTACAGCAGCTTTATTCACCATAGCAAGAACATAGAAACAGGCCAGATGTCCAACAATAGTCAAGTAGATTGAGAAATTATGGTACATTCATTCACACAATGGAATATTACACAGCATGCAGGAGCAATGATTTTGTAAATTATGATCTAACTTGGGAGGGCTGGAGAGCATTATGCTAAATGAACTAACTTAGTTCCATAAGGACAAATACTACATACAACCATTATTGTAGAAGGAGTATGAGATCTAAGGGGGAGGTGGGGGAGAACAGAGGGCTGAGGCTGGGTTGTCTGTGGTGGGGGTGGTTAATCATAGGATTGCACAAGTTGATGGATGGAGGGAGAGGTAGGTAAAGGAAACGGGAAAGATCTGGTGTGAAAAACAGTGTATACAAATTTTGTAAGTAAACCAGTATAAAAATAAATCTTTTTTTTAAAATCCTAAAACCTGACGTTGTTGCTTTTTAGCATTTTGAAGACGTCCTTGACAGCAGATTTTTCCCAGTGCATAATGTCTTTTGATTTCTTGACTGCTGCTACCATGGGTGTTGATTGTTGACTCCAGTAAAATGAAATTGTTGACAGCTTCAGTGTTTCCTCCACCTATCATGATGTTGTCAGTGGTGAGGATTTTTGTTTTCTTGATGTTGAGATGAAATGTTTGCTGAAGGATGTGGTCATTAATCTTCTACAGAAAATGCTTCAAATCATCTTTCATTTTTGTAAACAAAATTGTGTCATCTACATAATGCAGGTTGTTGATAAGCCTTCTCCCAAACCTGATGCCACATTCTTCTCTATATAGTCAAGTTTCTCAAATCATTTACTCAGCATATAGATTTAATAGATAGGGAGAAAGGATACAAGATTTAAAAGATATGGAGAAAGGACACAACTTTGACATGCACTTTTCCTGATTTTAAACCATACAGTGCCTACTTTCCTGTTTTGACAGTTACTTCTTGGTCTATACATAGATTTTTCATGAATACAATTATATGATTTCAATTCCTATTCTTCTTAATATTAGTAATAATTTTTACCATCCACATATTCAAATGCCTTTGCATGATCAATAAAATGTCATAATTGTCAATTATTTCATCTGTCTTACATATGCCATGCTGTTAGGAGGAAGTAGTTCTTGGAAAGAGACATTGTGCTTAGAAGGGTGGAGAATTAGTGAAAGAGATAAAGACCCTCAACAGATTAATTGATACAGTGACTGTAGGACCTGCTTCAAATCAGTTGTTCAAAGGATCACTATGAGTTGTAGTTGGCTTGACAGCAAGCAGTTAACAACAACAGCAACTAACAAAGTCACTTAAAGATGATCAGGATGGCAAATATACATATATATAGTTTCAAAGTTTTTGCATAATTTCTATTATAATGCATATATATATGTGTAAAAGTGATTTTTAAAAATAAACTTTTAAATATTTGAACAATTCTTAATGGACAGAGATATTGCAAAGATGATACCCTACACCAGCAATCTTATATACGTCTTTTCTCATTTCCCTCCAGTTGGAATGGACTCATAGCTTCCATTGGGTTTCTGAAGTAAATTTCATGAGAGAAGATGGCCTGTCTATCTCCATTGGGACTGGTGGTAGATTTGAACTAGTAGGGAGGCATGGCCTTTGGATTAGCAATACAATTTTTTATAAATTAGGCCATCAGAGCTCTCTCTAATGAGTCTCCATTCTCTTCATATATTTTCTCCTAAAATTAGCATTTTACATAATCTGGTTATATTTGTCAGAAGTAAAAAATTGACACTACAACATTGCTGTCATTAAATTACACATTTTACTCAAATTTGACTACTTTTTCTGCTCTTAGACTTTTCATTTCTAGGATTCATGCTAGAGATACTTCTGCATTTAGTGTATATCCTTTAAAAAATCTTAATTTTTTTTACCTAAATAGTTCCACTAGTTTAATGTTTTAAAAATTCTTTTAGATTAAACCTGTTTTATTATACTGCCCTTCTGTTTCATTTCAGTTTATGGTTGTACTTTATTTGTCCAAACTTTCAAATCGGTTTTAATATTTTGGTATTCCTAAAAATATGTGGCTGACTCTGAGAAGAATGGGAATCCCAGAACACTTGATCATGCTAATGCGAAACTTATACTTGAACCAAGAGGCAGTC